TAGGAAGGTGACCTACATGGCATGGCAGACCTCTCCTGATCAGCCTGCTGCCCCCCTCAGCAGTATATTTCAGTCCATCTGTCTGTTCTGCTCCCTACTCTGCCACTGGTGAAGCCTCTCACCACCTCCCCCCAGCACCTCTGTCACGTACCACCGTTCTGTACGCATAAATAATCTTTTTAAAAATTTGAATTATTTCAGCCTGAGTTTTGCTTATACAATTAAATGATTCATACTTCAATAAATTTATTTTCACTCTCTCAAGAGTATGTCCATTAACTCTGGGGACAAAGGTAATATCTACTATGAAGTTTCCCCTTCCTTCACTTAAACCCTCTTTTTTTTTTTTTGTTACAAATGAATGTCATGAATGATTGTAAGAATTTTAAAAGACTTTTTTCTTGGAAATGAAAGGATGTTTGCCATTCACAAGTAGAAATTCATAAGGGCTAATTATAAAGGCTAATGCTTAGTTTAATAAAATCAACTACCCTAGTACAGAGAGAGATAAAAGTTAAAAATATGTATTTAGGGATTGTGATGTCTTTAATAGGTTGGAAGAAATGTTCTGGGAATCCTCTTGCCATTGAAAATTAAATACACATAGAAATACACATAGAAACTAAGCAAGCATGAGTCCCTGTCAAGAATCATCACTGGAGGTAACATTTATTCTGGGATATCGGCAACACTGTGGTGGATGAGTCTTGGCTTTGGTCTACAGCTGGGATTCATGGAATAATATCACCACCTAAAAGCCCACACCTGCATACTTTGAGACCTATATTTCATATTTTATTTTTGGATCACCAAACTGAAAATAAATTATGTAGCCTCGTAACACTAGATAATGGTGGACCAAGAGGTAGCACTATAAGGTTAAACAGTCATCTGTATTTCATGAGTAAAATTTACTAAACTTAATTTGATGACCCTAATAGTCACATGTTAGAGGGGTCATTGAGCTGATTCCTGTGGCTTCTTCAAAAGAACTCAGCACAATTATGCCAGAGCCATATGCGTGCTGTGCAGATTATCAGAGTTAACTAAAGCAAATTATTTGAAAAGATGAAATCTAGACTATAGCAAAACGTACAGCTCTAAGTCTAGTATGTACAAGTTCATTTTTAAATGCTTTTATTAGAATTACACTATGCTGTGAACATGCATGTTTATAGCTACCTCTAAATCATATTTGTGAATATTATGTTATTTCAATTAAGCTAATTTAAAGATTATGATTACTGAAGCAAATGCTAACTGCTCAGGTCTAATCATCTCCATATAACTATTAGGCTGGTGCTAAAATAAAGCTTTTCCCTGAGACAAACAGAAATTTAGTTGCATACTTCATCATACAAATAAGCAACATTCCATTACTGCATACCTACAATTTGTTATATCTGAATACTGTAACAGATAAGGAAAGTCCTTTGCATTCTAATATTAACAGACCACAGAGGTAATTTTTTTGTTGTTGCTATTAAGGAAACAATTAAGCCATCATGCTTAAATGGATTGAGTAATTAAACCATTAATTCTACCTTGCCCTCATACCTGAGGCTTTTGTTTGCATGGTTTTGTCTGTTTCTCTGCAAGGTACCAGGCTTTCCTATCTAGGTTGACTAATTCAAACTTTTTCCATTTCTCTGAAAATTACTGATATAAAAAGATAACTTTCAAATCAAGATAGAACAGGACTTTCCCTCCTTAACTAGTAAATCCACCTCAAAGAGTTAATGGTATCATCTTCCTTAGCATTACTTAGTATCAGAAGGAGTTTTGAGTCCCTTTTTTCCCTTTTATCTCCATACGCAGTTTTCATAAAAGCAGCTGTGTTAGAGGCTATGCTGACTTCTTTCAGGAATGGAGGAAAACTCTCTACTAGCAATGGTGCCGGCAGGTCAGTCCTCTGTAGGCATTTGCCTTATTTGAAAAAAAAAAAAAAAAAAAAAGCTCAATTTCTCTCTCTGGACACACACGTCTTTACCACTCTCTTTCAAGGGATGAGCATTTCTTAATAAATGCCGAACATGCTAATGGCCTATCTCAGAGTTTTAATTCCTGGGGACCCAAGCTGTTACTGCATTATTTTCTCTTTTTTTCAAAACTATTTTTCTGGTTTTTTTTTTTTTACTTCCGATCACTGCTTTGTTTTGGTGAGCCCTTAATTCGTTCCACAACAAAACAGGCATTCAAATTCAAACCTCCACGAAAGCAAATATTACTATAGCTGACTATATAGGCTGAGGTGAAAATTCCAATTCTATCCGTTTCTCAAAATGTCTACTTACCCATCAGTATGTCAGGACAATCCTTTAGTATATGCGCTCAGTGCCCCCACTAAAATACCCTCTGATCTTCCAGTGGGGACGCAGTAGCATGGGTATCTGCCCTCAAAGCAAACTTCAATCAATGGACAGAAATTTGAGGATGCATACCCCATCTTCCTTGCTCTTCACTATGACCCTCCCTTAGAAGGCTCTCTAGATCTCTGCAGACATCTGATGTCTAACTTACATTTTTTTTTTTTACTTCCTTTTTCTGTGAGAGGGCTTTCTGGGATTACCACTCAAACTATTTGTTATTTAACTCTTTTTTCGGGGCTTGCTTTTGGAAGAAGAGGCACAAACTAACATTGAGAACTGAGCAACTATCAACAGAATACTGCTAAAGGTCTCTAACGGATCTCTTCGGTCTAACTGCCCTATCTTGCCCCTCTTACCTATCTCACATATTACTTCCAGACAATGCTTTATAATCATGTCCCTTGCTTCCTGAAATATCTTCAATGAATTCCACTGCAATAAGAAGTAAAACAAAATTCTGCCCAACAAAGCCAACCTGCACGTCATTCTGCACTCCTACCACACACGGACTTCAGCATGCCCTTCTGTCTGCTACTTGCAGAAAGCATCTGCTCTGTGTGGTCAATAAGACTGTTTCCCCTGCTGAAATGCCCTCCCTGTAATACAGGGTGATGAATCACAGCTGATATTTTAAGACCCAGATTAAACTCTTTATCCTTTAAGATGCTCTCTCAGGACTTCTCTGGTGGCCAAGGGGTTAAGTCTCTGCGCTGTCCCACTACAGCCTGAGTTCTGTCCCAGGCCAGGGAGCTGACCCACATGCGTGGCAGACCTCTCCTGACCTGCCCACTCTCCTCAGCAGTGTATTTCAGTAGATTCACCAGTTATGCTCCCCACTCTGTCTCGTTGATCCTCTTGCTGCCTTCCCTGAACTCTGGCCTACATCCCCATTCTTCTATGCATAAACCAATAAATCTTCAAAAAAATTCTCTCAGACCCCCACTGTTGGCATGAATAATTCCCTCTACTATGCCTCCCAGGGCCAACTTTAAACTTCTGGTAAATCAGAATATACTTTGTATTAAGGTGACTTATTAATATCTACTTCTACCACCAGTTATGAAATCCTAGAAGCCAGGAGTCAAATGATATTCACCTTTATATCTACTGGTAATATTTGAAATGATTAGTGCCTATATTCCAGTTGTAACCAATCAGAAAGGACTCGGGGTCAAAGCCCCGAAGCACACTGACGGATCATATGTTAACCCTTCAAATTGGTGCTCATCTCTAGAAAAAGTCAAAGGGTCCCATGTGGCTAGTGGGTGAAGCTAGAGTGTCAAGGTTACACGGCAGTGGAAGTCAAACAACCAAGTAGTGCTCAATATATAATATAGACAAGGATCTGTTGCAGTATTTCAGCAAAAAACATAGCTGGTTTAATGTCCACTGTGATTCACAAATACTATCCTTATCAAAGCTTTCCAAATTACCAGCCTACAGTAAATAAGCGTTGTATAGTTAAGAACAGAAAAAAAAAATCTGGACATAAAGTTACTCCCAACGACCACTATACATATGCATAGACTTGTATAGACAGCACAAATAGAAACATTCTCAGATACTATGAAAATCACGTGGATGAATTCTGCTTATGTCAGATTAACAGGAATTATATTTATAGTGCTTAAATTATCATAGAAGTCTTTCAATAGCGCTATCAATATAAATGATGTTAACATTTTTTTACAGGCTCAGCTTTTACAAATCATAATGGCAACACTGATTTAACCTTAAGAAACTACCCTAGGAAGAACAGTTACGCTTTGCCAATAGTTTTCAAAATTACAAAGCCTGCAAAATCTCTTCTATAACTGGTAACATTTACCTAATTCATCCTTACTTAACAATATACCCCAAGTTGTGTTCAACTTCCAAATTCGTTTTAAAGTTCTTCAAGCCAGGATGTTCAAAAAGAGTTCATGTCTGACTAGTGAAAACAGTCACTGGAATTATATGGTCTCCCAACTAATGTAAAATCAACAAAAATTGACTATACAAAAGAGAAGCATATCAAATCGGATTATTTACTTATTCTCAGGTCAATTACCATAACTTCAAGATTCTGAATTATGGGTGAGGAGATTGTTTAAGGTAGTCACAAACATTCCTAATTTAATAAGTTCCTCTTACCTTCCTTCTGATACACAGAATAATTCAATTTCTCACAAATAACAGAAAACTAAGACTTATTTTGTTAACCAAAAACATTAGTGGCAACTCTGAATTTTTTGCTACCCTTTACAAAAAAATGAGTTAGAATTATAAAACCTTAGAGAACGTACCAACTAGGAGGATTGTTATTTGGTGATTAAAATGAAAACAGAAACTGGTTCATAAGTTAGAATAACTACTTGAAAATAGTTGTCACAACTTTATAAATTGTTATGCCTCTGATATTTTTACTTTTAGGATTTGTCTCACAAAAAATTCAAATAAATGGCAAAGAGGATACTGCACTAGACAGAAAATAGAATGCTGCAATGCTCCAATTATTTAGAAAGATAATGGCTGAAGTGAAAACTAAATTTTCCTATGGGTAACTTATTAAAGGGGAAAATATGAATTACATTTTATATTTCTTCACATCATATTTTCATCCAAGTAACATTTTATTAGTGGATTTGTTACCTGTAACTACACCACGTTTCCAAGGGCTTATATGTAGAATATATGGAATCGCATTATCAGGTTCTATGGTGATGTGTGGATTTCCCCATACTATTGGAAGATCTGAAGATACCTAGAAGATTCAAAAACAAGAATTATACAAAATTCACATGAAATTATTATAACAACTTAAAGCATACAAAAATGAAACTTAAATCCATCAGTTAAAACAATTTACTTTTAAATGAAAAGCAAGCTAGAAAAATGATAATGCAACTGAAGAAAATCTGAAAATAGATCTATGAAAAAATATAACAAAGGATTCTTACAAGACTCCCAATGTGTATTGTCTATTGTTACTTGTAGAAGATCACTGATGCTTAGATATCTGAATGCCTTTAAATTCGAAGTATCATTAAATATTTATCAACTGTACTTTTGATGTCATATATAAAAAATATTATTAGCCCAAGGTCGTGAAGATTTACTTCTATGTATCCTTCTACAGTTTTTACAGTTTTAATTATTATTAAAATTTAGCCTATGATCCATTTTGAGTATACTTTTTTTTCCCATGGTCTGAGTTAGAGGTCCAAATTCACTCTTTTGTATGTGACTATGCAACTGTATAGTTGTTTTAGCACCATTTTTTAAAAGACAATTCTGTTCCATTGAATTCTCTTGATATCCCTATCAAAGCTTGACTGGTCATTATCATGAGGATATTTTTCTGAACACTCTTGCCTGTTTCATTCATGGACATGTTTATCTTATGCCAATGTTTTCTGTAATATCACAGATTTGTAGTTGAGTTCACAGTAAGTTTTAAAATTGGGAAGCCTGAGTCATTCATTCGTTTAATTTCATGAGATCACTTTGGTTGTCCATTGCCCCTCGTGTTCGTATATGAATTTTAGAATTACTTGTCAAATTCTGCCCACCCAAAAAAAAAAAAAAGTTGCAATTTGACAGATATTATCTTGAAGAAACACATCAATTTGGGTAAAATTGAGGAATCAAATAGAAAAATAAATAAAAGCCACCACAGTCCTAGATAACTACTGGAGTGAAAGTATGGATACTAGTATCTAGATATCTGTTAAAAGCTGGGAAATTTCCAAGTAGGATGTGGTATAGATCACATTCTGGAAGATGGAAACTTGATCAAAAATTATAAGGTTAGAGAAACAGAAGAACCAGATAAGTAATAACCAAGAAATCACAGGAAAATAAGGACTTATAGGGGGTATGAACTAAAAGGCAAAATGTTAAGACAGCTGATCAACCATAAAAAATACTACAGGAGTATTGAGGCTGATAACTTGGGAAAATAACTTATTTTCTTGGCTAAAAATTAAGGGTGATATTTGTGGAGCTAAAAATGGACTGCCATGGAACAAGAAGTAATTCCATGAAGTTGGTTTTGCTGTAAGTTAGGCATTATAGAAAACAAAAAGTTGAAGGAGTATTGTTAGTAAAAAGTTTTCTCTTATAATGGAAAATATTTGAGAAAATTTACAAATGAAGGAAAATAATCTAATGAAGAAAAGAGAGAGGCAGAGAGAGAGACAGAGAGAGATGGGAAGAAGGAGGGAAGGGAAGGGATGTAAATCAGTCTTGAATTCATGGGTGTCAACTTCACTGTAGAGTGAAAGAATGGAGATTGAGAATCAAAGCGTTTTGGCCATCACAAAGCAAGTATATAATGAATCTAACTCTACAAAGCAAGGAGTTTTAGCCTACTCCATCTCCTTAGCAGGACCTCAGTTGTTTCTCAATAGGATTTCTATTGAAATACAAACAATAAAGTCAATATGAATGAAAAGAAATTGCACATTAGTACACAGAGATTTAAATTATGATAATTTTCAAATTAAGAAAGGTGATAATTCATTGATAATATCTCTAAGAACAAGTGTCTCTTAGGTCTTAAATACATTTCTGTTCATTGGAGCTATTTAAATATAGATATATAAAAATATTAGGAAGCTCTGGAAGACATGAACAGCATTATTATTTTAATGAAATAATGTTCAATTAATTTTAATTTAATGGATAACATCTTTAATTACAGAATGAGCCTCACTGAAGTGTACTTTAAAAACAAAACCAGATTCTTCAGTTTAATTTGTGTATTTAAATGACAGAAATAGACTTCCATTGTTGTTAATGGGGATAATTTTGTGATTAAGAGGATTTAATTTTAACATTTAATTGATAAACAGTTAACAGTTAACATAGCATCACTATAGATACATTTTAAATGCCTACATTTTAAAAACTGTTTATTCTGTAGAATAAAATCCCAAAGCCTACAGACATCATCTCTGCAATTCTATCAAAATGAAATAATCAATATGATGAAATTATAGATTTTTCTCTATCATATTTTCATTGAATTCTTAAGACCTAAATTCTGGAAGGGGAGAAGTGGTAGAAAAACATGTTCCCCTTATTTATAACAAATCCAAATCAGTTATCACTCTTCTTTCTCCTTTTCTCTCTCCCTCCCTCCCTCTCCTTTCTTTTAAATGTCACCCACTATTTTTTATCTGTCCATTAACAAATCTTCTTGAAAACCATTTGTGTTGGATACCACAACTTATATGTATAAACATATGACACAGAGAAGCACGCTCCTTTCTCAGTTTATAGTTTGTGAATAATAATAAGCAGGTAACAGCAGTATGATGTAGTATTGTGACACTGGAACGTACTAAAAATAGTAGAAGCACATGAAGGTATCAGGTCCATGAACACAGGGACAGGGAAGAATTCTCGGCAAAGTGGCATCAACAAAATCCCCTAAAGAATGAAAAGTACTTAGACAAAGAAAAATGTTAAGAGAAAAGGAAGAATAATGTAAAATATAGACATATATATATAATTAAAAAAAGAAAAATCAAATCATTAAAAAAAAAAGAAGAAGGTATTTTCAGACTGCAGCAAAAGAAAATACTTTGTAAAGGAGGAGCTGCTGAGCCACAGGTGACAAGAGATGAAGCTGAGCAGAAAAGCAAGGACAGCGAGCTTCTGAAGGATGGTGAAGGCCATTCTAAGGGGTATGGACTTGATCCTGAAGATAAGAGGTGACACTGAGGAGTTTTAACAGAGGGGTGACAGGTGAAATTCTCACACGTAACTCTCACCTCATTTGCTATCCAGTAAGGAAAGAAAAAGAAAATCAAAGCAGGGCTTTTGTTTGTTTGTTTTCAGGGTTTTAAGAAAAAGCAAATTCTGAGGGCAAACTCAATTTTCAAGCTTTGGCAGTACACTGTTAACCTGAATCCAGGCACTTCTGACGGATAGCTTCTTTTTAGGACTCTATTGGGCACACACCAACTTGTAGTTAAATAAGGGAGTCGGGATACAGACATCACTGATACTTCATTTTCAAATTTTTCCATTTTTTTAAATTGAGGGCACAATGGTTTACATTGCTGTTTGTGTTGTAGTGTTTTAAGTGTTGTTACCACACCACACCCACTACCGAAACACCTATAGTCCATGCCCATTTGCATTAAAATTTTAAAATTGCAAAAACAATTTGAAAATATATTACTATGTACAATATCTTCATATGAAAATATAGAATATTCAAATAGATTTTAATGTCTTATGATTATGCATTAGTATTTAGATATAAAATTCATTTGATGCTAACTAGCAACTTTCTAATTGAAATTTAACAGCTGTTTTTGACATTTTTTCACCTAGTTAAATGTCTGAAAAATTTCATATAATTCAATATACTTCTTTGGAAAAATACTTTCATACTTAAAAAAAAAAAAAGGAAAACCATACCTTGTAAGTTAGAATTGTCTTTGTGTAATTGGGCACCATTATGGGTTTATTTGTTACGGTTCCCACTTCACAATTCACTGTGATGTGTTCCAAAGCCAGAGGTTTCTTTCCAATCCCCTTTACTTCAAATGTATGTTTCATACCATCTGCTTCATTTTGTAGAGAAAGCTTGCCCTGTGATAAATCAGCCAAATATCAGGCTTAGAGGAGTCACAGATAAATACCAAACAACTTTTGCTAACTTAACTAATCTTCAATTTGATTAATTAAATGATATTTCAAGAATTTGTTAGCGATTGGTTTTTCCAATTTATATAAAAATACTTCAACTGAATGAAGATGAAATTTCCTGTGTAACTATTTCCCTTTATTTTCTCTAAAATACAGTTTAGATGGGACTTCGCACATGTAATAACAATATGTGTATTTTATATCCTGGTCAAAGAAATATGTCTTATTAAAATATTTCCTGAAGTACCACATTTCTTTAACTTTACTTGTTAAATACACTATATAAAAATAATCTTAGATATAAGTTTTGAAATCCAGTGGTATTGTGGCTTTCAGGATATTTGTTCCTCAAATTAAAATATTTATTAATGTTTCAAACAAAGTGGACAGTAATAATCTGATTCATGGACAATATAAATTTTCTGCAAAACGATCCCTCTTAAATTATATAGGCTACTATCTCACATTGGGCTATTACCACAGCATGGCTGAGGGGTTAAAAAAATATACTCAGTGGATTCATACCATAATCTCACATTCCAAAATAGGTTTGAACGTGAGAGGATATTGCACAATTTCACCTGGTCTGGCATACAATATAGGAGGTCCATAAAACCATTCTCCTTCTATAGTAGCTTGACATTTCCATTCATTCTTTGTATGATTTTTCTGTAGCATGAAAAAAAGTTAGAGAACGATCAGGATGATGGCAACAATGTTAGGCTACATATTCATTCTTGGTACATTTGGTAAAATTATCTATTGTATTTCTAATTGCATTTTATGGGAATCACTTAAAATCACCCTTGTTAAGAATGACTGTCAAAATGTGAACTTCATCAATGAAGATGACAACACACCATCCCAGTGTGACCTGGAGCACTGCCTGATAGGTTAATTCATGGATTATTTAATATCTACTTCTTTAATGTCTTAATGTTTCATTATTTGACTACTAATTATTATTAAAATTATTAAGTGGTTTTGAAGTTACACCTTCTACTCCTGATTATAGGTAATAAAAAGGGTTCTAACTCATACTCTGTTCAGATAGCAAAGCTTACAAATTTCAACTGAACAAATTTTTATGTTTCAAGCAGACTTTTGCTATATCTTCAAACTATTTCTTAGTGTAAGAAATTCAAAGTTCCTTGTAATTATATAATCTTCTATGCTGTATTAGTACTTTAACTAACAGACTATAGCCAATCATTGTCTTTAGTGACTATGGACCCACCTTTATCAAGTACTAAGATCACAAGTGAATTTGGAATAAATTAACCTGAGGAATCATAACTTTTGCATTTTTTAAAATTTATTCTTGTATAGAACCGGGGTACAAGAAAGAGATGTGAGGATGAGAAGATTCACCAGAGATAGAGTAAAGAGTATAACAGGTGGATTTCACTAAGGGGAGCAGCAGGTGAGACAGGAGAGATCTGCTGTACCATATGGGTCTCCTCCCTGGCCAGGGTCTGAACTCCAGCCTCAGTAGTGATAGCACTGAGACTTAGCCACTAGGCCACCAGGAAGGCCCCATAACTCTTCTGAGTGGAACCAGGAGTGGAAACTTTTGAGTAGTAGTACTTCAGTCGTGGATAAGGAAGCTGGAGTTAATTTTGAAGGGATTGTGTAGGACATCGGCAGTGAAGTGGAGGGTGAGTGAAGTTAAGTGCAGATATGCAGGTACAAAGCTGTACTCCCCAAATTAAATAGTCATATAAATGACAAATTAATGAAATTTGAGAAAAAAAAAGTTCTGTTAAGCAACGAGATCCCTCAGAAGTGATTTATGAGGTAAGTAACAGGAATTTACACTCAGGAATAAAACTCTCACCTATGAATAGTCAACAAAGTACTTGGCAGCAAATGCTCACTACTGGTTCAAGATGAAACACTTGGAGGACGTTACATGTGACAGTGGTAGTGGCAATGAAGTAAAATCTTTGAACTTACTATTGTAATATTCTGAGTAAGAGCTTGAAATGCTGGTGTTTCAAATGTAAACGTGGCCTCTGGATGTTCTTCATTCACCACACCTTCAATGTGATAGACACGTACATCATACCTTGATGTCAACAAAATTTGACACGGATAGCGCCCAGGACTGAGAGGAACAAATCTCAAAGGAACTGCAATAGAGTCGTCTGCAACTGTCAAAATAATTTAAAAAGAGTTTAATAATTTTAATGGCTTAAATCCTAAAATTAATCTTGGGGTAAACCAGTATTTTATATTATTGTATTTAACTGTACCATGTGATCTAGAAGAGATGAAGTTATTTGAGGTAATATACTGTCCTTAAATCTTCAGGGCATAAAAATCAATTTTATTTATCAATGGTAGGATACATACCGCATAGGAACGTCTGGCCCACAAAGTCACTTGGGGACCCAGGTGGCAAAGGATACCACAATCTTTTAGCTGTACCATTAGAAACACCAGTTCACCCCCTTTGAAAGGATAGAGGGGGAGAAATGGCTAGATGTTTGTTCAAGTATTGTTCAGTAATCAGCTCAAAACATTCCCTTTAACTGGCCAGAACCAGCCACATGACTCTAAGTGAACAGCAGCTAAGGAATGAGAGTGATACATGGAATATTAGGCAAGAATACTTGTCTGATACAGTTCTATGGAATAGTGATACTTGACCTTGTAGCAAGCAAAATAATTTCTAATTTAAACAACAGAAATTTTTCACCGTTAATAACCAAGAAAAGCACCCAATCACTATTCTGAAGTCAACTTGTCATAACACGTACTTCACATTAATAACTTAGACCATTTCTTACTATCTATGCTGGTCATTTTCTTCCAAGAAATACCACTTTTGCACTGGAGATCACCATTCCCCATGAAATAAGATAATAGTTTCAAAAATCTCTCATGCCAAAACATTTAAGTAGTCAATGGAAACCAAATGATTACAAATGTTTAGAAGCTTGATACCATGCAAGTTCTTTGAAGACACACACACAAAATCAAGTTATCATCCAATGGACCAAATGAGTCGTCTCTGATTAATTGATCATAATTTTAATTCACTCACATTTAGTATCTCAAATCCTAAAGATAACAAACCTCTTTATATATATATATATATATGGAGGTATGTATTAACTGCAAAACATTAACTGCTTTAAATAATTTTTAAAGTAAGCTCACAGCTTGAATATATTTTAAATTTTTTTATGTACTATATAGACATAAATTGCTTTCTATAGCATATGTGGCTTTATCATACATTATCTATACCAATATGTCACATAATCATATATAATATTATAGTTATAGACTGTATATCACAACACACTGCCAATGGATTACATTTTAATGTACATTTTAACCAAAGTCCAAGATTCTCTGCTGGTTTAAAGAGGAAACAAAGACTATTAAGAATGTTATTTTCACCCTGGTGTGATTCCATTCTTCACAGCTGTTCTTTGGGATAGCAGTGATTTATCTCCAACCACCTCCCATCACCAAATCACCCATGTGCCATCACCACAATCCAGTGTACTTCCCCCGGCCCCCATTTTTTATCTCATTTTCCACTCCACCTCCGCAAAATGTCTCTGGAATATAGTTAAATAGTTGTTCATTATTATTATTATTATTATTTTCTCCCCTGGTTCTTTCTGCTACTGCTGTAAGTGAAACCATCTGGTATTTTTTTCTTTTTTCTTTCTGGCTTTTTTCACTAAGCATGATCTTTTCCTGCTCCATCCTTGTTGCTGCAAAAGACATGAGTTTGTCTTTTTTGATTGCTGCAGAATATTCCATTGTGTATATGCAATACATCTTTTTTATCCAGTCATCCACTTTTGGGCATTTGTATTGATTCCATGTCTTTCTTATTGTAAATAAAGCAGCAATAAACATGGAAACACCAGTTATCTTTAAGAACAGTCAGTTTAGGTGCTGGTGCAAAGCATGAACTGCACACTGCTAAAGCAGAAGCAATGAATGATGAAGACAGTCCTGCTAAAGGAGAAGCCACAACTTTGAAAATATCTGTACAGTCAGCAGCTTCCCTTGGGGCTTTGACATCCCACTGCCTTCAGCCTCACATCTGAAGTGTGGCTCAGGGCCCGTGCATATGAGTGGGTGGCACTTAGTGTCTGTGGAGGAAGATGGAGTCACAAGATGAAATGGAGGAGGGCATGAAACTCCTAAGAATGTCTGGGAAGTGTTTTGCCCCTGGATAAAGTAGCAAGTTTCCCCAGAAAAGAATAAAACTTGCTGCTGCTGAAGAAGAAGAAGAAGAAGATGATGATGATGATGATGATGATGATGATTTTAGTGCTGAAGAAAAAGCACTGGTGAAGAATTCTAGATGAGAAAGTCCAACCCCAGATGCACACAAATCAAACCAGAACAGAAAAGACTCGAAACCATGAACACTTAGATCAAAGACTTAGATCAAGAACCCTTCAAAAACCAGGCAAAATAAAAATCCAAAAATAACAAAAGGACATGGTTCTGTTTAAGAGATGAAAGCAAAAACACAAGCAAGTATATTATAAACACAGTGACCAATTCTGGGTACTACCGGTAAACTAAGCCCAAAGATGGGGAGAAAGGAACAGGAGAGAGAAGTGCAGGTCCTCCTGACTATCTACAAGGCACACTAAAGTCTCCTATTTTAATCTCAATTAAAATTCATTTATTTATGCATACAAGAGCTTGGGTACAGGCCAGAGGTGCAAGGGTGGGGGTGTGAGATGACTCATCAGAGACACAATGGGGAACAGAATAGGCAGATTGACCGAAATGCACGCACCACAAAGTGGGGAACAGTGGATAAGACAGGCGAGGTCTGCTGTGCCATGTGGGTCAGCTCCCTGGCTGGGGATTGAACTTGGGCTGCAGTGGCTGCAGATAGCTTCAGAGTGCTGAGACTTAACCAGGGAGCCACTCAATCACTTTTCTTAACTGAGGGCCCCTTTCAGGTTTGAAGAAATGTCTTGGTTCCCTAAAGTGCTTTCTTCTGGCTACTGTGATTCAGTGAAACTTAAACAATGCATTCTATTCCTTGTGCATTCACCCCACCTGGCCTTATTTTAATCCCCTTTGTATCTTCTGAATCACTTAATGATTTTTTGATAAAAAAAAAAAGGTATGTTGTTATCTCTATTCCAGTACAGATCTAATTTTAGAAGAAAAGTTTTTCTTGTCAAAAAGAACTGCAGGCACATTTCATCATCTGTTGTTCATTGATTACTTTCATTCTGAGAGGAGAATCTGAGTTGTGGCAACAACATTGGAACAAATCAGTAGAGGTAATCTCAGATCAAAACTTGGTGATTAACAGCAATAAAGAAAACTTGTTTTTCTCTTGCATGAATATACTCAAATGAAAATATTGCGATTAGGTCATTTAAATCAAATTATACTGCTTAAAATAGAAAATATAAACAGCTCAGTAATTATTTTCATCAAAGATAGTCACTTAATAGTAAGTAACTGAAATGCACAAGTTCAAGTACAAAGCTTCTGTGAACAGCTTTTGTTATACACTATCTCTCTTTCCCTAAAAATATTGCTTTCCTGATGATATTGAATCTGAAAGTGAAAACCAAGGACATTCTTTAGTGCACATTTTCCATTTATGAGCAAAGAATCTAAGGAATATACAGTGCCAGCCCTTCGCAGACAAGTCAAAAAAGAAATCCATCATAATGGAGGAAATCATGAAAATGATTTTTGAAGGTGCATTATATTCCTTTCTCAAATAAACACATGCCTTCTGCAGCAACATGGATGGAGCTGGAAAAGATCATGCTTTGTGAAATAAGCCAGAAAGAAAAGAAAAACCACTGGATGGTTTCAGTCATAGCAGGAGTATAAAGGACCAGGGGAGAAAATAATAAGAATAATGAACAATTATACACCAGAGACATTTTATGGGGGTGGGGTGGGGAATGGGATCAAAACAGTGGGGAGAGGGAAATGCACTGGACTATGGCAATGGCACATGGGTGATTTGGTGATGGGAAGCCCACAGAGATTACAAGTAAGATGGAAAAAGGCACAAAATGATGTAAAAATAAACTATATTATTTTAAAAAATTATTATGGAAAAAAACATGTTCCTTTTTCTTAAACACCTGTAGTAACTGATTCATGCTAGATGAGATGTAGACATAGGAGGATTTTCCTGTGTTATAAACAAAAAGCCACTTCTAGAATAAAGGGTTCAGTAGCCAGTACCTCCATCCCCTTAGATATATAAAAGCAGTGGTAGAAACCATTTTGATTTCCAGAAACTTGAATTTTTTACTGGCCCCATTTTGCCACAATAACCATCATTCTCTTTTAGAGACATCCCCCCACCCCCATCTCCTTTCTAATTCTGTCCATGTTCTACTATATCCTCAAGTATTTAATCCTCCTTGTAGGTCAATGGTTTTGTGGAAAACTGTGACTCTCTCCTCCAGGGCTTTCTCTAGCCACAGGAAGGTGCTGAGAACTCACATGGACTCAGGATACAAGTAACAGTTGACATTTACAGAGGGCCTCTTTAATAATGTCAAAATTGGAGGGAAAATAAGCCAACTACTATGTCCTTTGGTTGAAATAACTCTTATCTGAAATTTACCCTGCCTCCTAGAGATTCCCAATGCAGCTGGGCCCAAATTATGCATTAATACTTCCTAAATTGGTGACTTCTGTTTCCTGTCTTGGGTTCCTGAGTTCACTTGTCAAAGTTCTCAAGACGTGGTCTGAGGGTTTAACGTTGGGGATAGCACTGCAACACACAACCTCGGACCCAGAAAGAGAGCTTCCTGACCTAGGCCTCATTCTTTCTAGGGATTACTCTGATCTCCTCTGGCATTGTCTCTCTGCATGCACAAGGGTCCATATGAGACAAGCAGCCTCAGCCATGTTCCAGGTTCATGGGATCCCACAATTCCTATTCCAAAGTACTTTGATCCTATTTGCACAGTATAGCTTCCTATGTCAATTATGTCAATTTAGAAAACTCTAAAACTGGGGCCCTCCCTAGTGGCTCAATGGTTTAGGGCACAGCACTGCAAGCTAGCTAGACTAAGAAGTGACCCACATGGTGCGAGGACCTCAGCCGTCTCGCCCGTTGCTCCCCTCAGCAGTGTACTTGTCAATTCTGCTTGTTCTGCTCCCCACTCTATTT